TCTTTGAGTCTATGTAATTTTATGTAAATTGTAAAGTAATTGTGGTTACTAGTTTTATTATTGATAAAAATAAGTTAACATTTATATAACGCCCTTCACATCAGGAGGATTTCATAAAGTGCCTCACAGCTGACGAATTAGGAGGTGATTGATACGAGTAGTACACGAAATCCAAGTGGTTTTGACAGGAAACTGAATGGGATTCGGGTGAATGTACAACTCAGGCGATTATACAATTCATAAAGATAAATAATAATCCTTGCATTTGATATAGCACCTTATCAAGTCTTCGAAATGTCTTAAAGCGCTTAATATACTGTAAAGTGAATCAACTGTATATTTTATCAGTGAAGACTTATAAGATAAGGCTATGTGAGTTTCAGTGTACACCACATCCACTGCATTTCCCTCATCTCCTTTATTTTTTATTTCAAAAGATTTGCTAAGCTTGGTAAAGCATAACCTTCCTTTCATAAATCCACATTGGCTGATTTTTATTATAGATTCCAATACCTTTCCCACCACCGATGTTAGCCTAACTGGTCTTTATTTTCCTAGATTAGAATTAATTTTTTTTTTAAAAAGAATTACAATTGCCACCTCCAGTTCTCTGTCACGATTCCTTTCTGTAAATGCCCATTACTAACATTATATATTTGCCTCAGCTATCTCCTCCAGTTAGTACTGCATTAGTCTCTTAGGTAATAATGGTTTAACATTTAATATCAAAATGTATAACTACATCTGGAAATGTTTTTAACCTTAATGCATTTCTATTTAAAATAGAACTTATGAACTTTTCCAAGAATAAATGTTCAAGTGAAGATTGAAAATTTAAATTGTATTAATTTTATTAAGTAACGCTTCAGAAATAATACTTTTTGGTCAGTAAATTGCTTTGGGAAAGAAATATAACATTTACAAGATGTACATAAGAGTGCTTCAATCTGGAACCATTTCACTTTTTACAACCAATACATTTAAATTACTCATTCCTTGTTCCATAAGCTACCACATATCCATACTCGATTCTGGATTAGAACATTTTCATCTCTGAACAAAATATATAAGATGTACATCATATTTTTTCATTCAAGAACCATTTCACTTTTGTACATTTAAGTTCATTCGTCAGTTAGTTACACAAAACTGTCAAACAAAGCTCAGAAGGTAATATCAACCAAACCTTCTATTGTGGATCAGACATATTCACAAAGGTTACAAGCAATATTAAGTTTACTAAACTAGTCCATAAATATCACCTGCTCCTTTTAGTTACTGTTACCTCATAAAAAGGACCAAATATTATTTTGCAAATGATGCTCCATTAATGTCACATTAATCGGGCAGTGTACTCATAGCATCAATATTCTGGCCTCTTCCTTCATACAACCTGACATTTCTTATTCACTTCTGAGAGTGGATGTGATGGCCAGATTCCAACAGCCACTACCATTCTGATCATTTTTAGCTACAGTCCCAAGCTCAATTTCATCATGCAATATACCAACGTGAGATTTGTTTTTAACACTAAAATGTCTTGTGCATTTTGGCATTCAAGGAAAACCTTGTGATGCTGTAGCCATCCTTTGTAGTTTTTCTTTTGAATCCTTGGTATTGGATAGGAAAGATCCATACTGCAGTCCGAACAAAATTCCAGTGTGCCTACAGAATTATTCAAATTCCTCATATATATTTAAATCAGTGATGCAGTTTGCTACACAGTGAATTTTGTAAACAAAGTTCTAGTATAAGGCCTATTTAACCATTCTGCTGGGATTGATTTTTTTAAAAAAAAAAGTATTTTGATTTCCATTTAAATAGATATTCATCAGCAGAAGAATTAAGGACTATATTAAGAAATGTCTTTGCACACTGCTTAAACCTGCACCTTATGAAATCATAAGCATCAACATATATCCCCATTTATCTCAAGATCCCATATGCTGTTGAAAGAAGAGTTCAATAACTTAGCAGTGGTGAGCACTCATTTGCTTTCCAAAACAAGAAATACAATTGTGCAAATTAATAAATTGATATTTGCTCTTGTTTAAAGGGTGAAGGTCCCAGGGCTTTATTCTTCATATGAATCCATATACTAGCATTTTCAACCAACCAAAACACCGCAAACACAGCAATTTCTGTCAAACCTGATCTACTGTCCGCAAAACTAAAGCCGATGTCCAAAGTTTTATTCAGCAAAATAAAGTATTTGTGTATCTGCTTACATTCCATGTTATAATTTGAGGCTCTACCAGCTTAATTTTTAAGGGTAAAGAATATTATCGAAGCTGAAGTTATTCTTTCTTTTCCTCCTTTTTTTCTTGCATTTTGTAGTCATCAAGAATAGCGTGGCCAGTCTCTTTTGCGGTACGTCGCACCACAGCCTTGATACCCAGATGGTCTATATTAAAAGCGGTTACACCAACATTGATGGCAGAGTTCACAGCATTGTCTGTAGCTTGGCCAGCAGCATTCCCATACCTTCATCAGAAATCATTGCAATTTTAATCATTTTAATCATTTTAATCAGAATAAAAGTTAATGATTAAAGATCTTTTTCAGATTTCAGGATTCTCCCTTCTCTGGAAACTGACTACCATTGAATATTGAAAAGTAATGCAGATATACCTACACATACACTGAAACTTAGAAGCTGTTATTTATTTCCTTGAGGGATTATTATCAGGTGTGTGGATTATAAAGGCCAAAGTCCAATAAACTGATCGTCAGTGATATGGCTACATCTAAAGACGTGAATCTAAAACAAAGTGCTTCATTTGCAACTATAAAGAACCTAGAATATGTTGGATTCAAGTAAAATGCTTATCAAGTATTAATACTTTTAAATAACAATTTAATCACTGGAGTCTTCTACCTACCATATTAATCCCCCTGGCAACACTCACCCCAAATAAATAAGGATCCACGTGACTTCTATACCTTACACTAATTCCAATACTGTTTCAGATCATCACTGACAGCTGTGACATTCCCACCAACAGATTTAAAACAACCTAACTTTTTAAAATAGGTCTATAGAACCTTGTGGAGTCCTGTAGCTCAGTGGTTAGAGCACTCGCAAGCGAGAGATCTGGGTTTGATTCTCAGCAGGGCAAAACCTTGGGCAAGTTTCCTTACTCCACACACCTGATAATAATCCCTCAAAGAAATAAAATAACAATTTGGTCACTCAATCCACAACGGTTGTGGGACACTGCTGTGCGCAAATGGCTGCCACATTTTGTCCATTAATATACAGTCAATTCACTTTACAGTATATTCTGTGAAGTGCTTTGAGACGTCTAGAAGACGTGAAAAGCGCTATATGAAATGCAAACATTATTATTATAATAATCACTCACTCATTGGTCATTGCTAAGGTTTTGTATCTAGTTTAGGGAGTCCTGTTACTGCCATACAATACTATCCAAATTTAATGGTGGGGAAAAAAATTATAATGAGTCAAGTGTACTGTATTACCTCTTCAGCATCTAAAGTTTATAGTACGGATAGTATCACCACCATGATACATTGGTTAAATTCCTGAGTATATAAAATAATTACAATCTGAAATATTGTTGGTTTATTATTAACATGAGAGAAATTAAAATAAACGAGGGAATGCTTCCTACCATGTCAACCAAATATTCACACTATATCATAGACAGAGAAGAGAAGGCTGTGAACATGATTAGGAATTTACTCAGTGCGAAAAAAGCAGTCAGCAGTAACCCCCATCCCCTTCATTTTATGGTTCTAAAGACAGCAAGAGAAGCAAAAAGCATTACACAAAATACTGCAGTTCAAACTGGTGCAGAACCACAAAATAATCACCTCAGATTGGATGAATAAGATCAGGACAAAACTGATTTAAAGCAATCAATTTAAATTAAAGCATGCTGTACAGCGAATTTAGCTTCTATTTAAACTGCAAGTGGCGACCTGTCCGTATCAGACAAAAACAATGTTAGTTAGAAATGAATACATGTGACTTCTGCCACCAATAATTTCTAGTGAGTGCTATCATCAAATGTTACTTACTTATGTTGCACTGTGTGAACTGTCTCTGATGCAACATTTGTCACTATGCACTTTGCTGCTCGCTCCAACCCATTCCAGACTGTTGCAAATCCTGTAAAACCACAAGCCACTAGTTAAACTCAGGTCGATTAGATTAATTGCCTGCAGGATCTCATAAGGATTTGATTGCTCCTCCAATTCCTGTTCCAAAAATAATATTGACATAGAACAATAATCAGTTTGTAAGGAGTCGAACAAAATTCTTTCTCCCATTATTTGTCCCTCCACACACAGACTTTGATTAATCAAGTAGCAATAATGTTCGTGCAGGAATATGGATGGTTTGATTGAATACATGTTAAGTGTTTTGTAGTAAAACCAGACTTGAATGCTTAATTGGTGCCAAGGTTTTTAAACCACACTAAAAACGTATAAACTATTTTTCAATCTTCCTTTCCACTTGCAGGCAGCTGTTTTGAAACAAACTGCACACTAATTCCCAAAACTTTGTGAGAACATTAAAGAATCAATTAAGCGATAAGGCCTGTTATACAGAAAAAGAACAATTTCTTTTATATGTACAGTTCAAAATTAGAAAACAAAACTAATCAAGTTCAGATGGAGTCCTGTAGCTCATTGGTTAGAGCACTCGCTTTGCAAGTGAGAGACCTGAGTTCAATTCCAGGCAGAGGGCGAAACCTTGGGCAAGTTTCCTTACTCCACACAGAGCCTAATAATAATCCCTCCAAAACCAAAAACAATAATAAATTGGTCATTTTCGATCTACAACTGTTTGTGGGACATTGCTGTGTGCAATTGGCTGCCGCGTTCGCCCACAAATATACAGTCAATTCACGTTACAGTGTGTTCTGTGAAGTACTTTGGGACGTCCTCCTGACGTGAAAAGCGCTATATCAAATGCAAATATTATTATTATTATTATAAAATCATTTTAAATGGATGCACAAAACCTGTCTGTAGAGTAATAGTTATACAATTTGCATTCGTTAATGATGGAGTGATATAGTGATCACTGACAGAGTTTACCAGATAGGGAGAACTAGATTGTCGTCTACAGTGTAATCTTATTACAAGTAATTCCTTGATGGCCTCAATACTTAATATAACACTGCTATTGAATTTGAGTATAAAGGGATTAGAAAAGCGCCTCTCACCCCAACATTTGTGATAAAGTCACAGATTATCACAACTACTTGGGTGAAGATTGTTGGAGAACAGATTCAGAATAAATGAACACCACACTGAAGCAGTGTGACTCACTTTTGTTCCTAAACCATCTCCTCAAGGTTGTTTCACTCAAAAACACAAATCGCATTGTGACTTGAAGCTACAAACTTGATTCAAACAGATTTTCTGCATTGATTTAATTTTTGAGTTGATCCTGAAAGTACTGTACCAATTTCAAGAAAGTACAAGACTCAAGTAGTCAAATCTAAAATCCATTTTTTTTGGTTTACTTGTGTGTACTTGTCTACACAGCATGTCCTGAATCCTTCAAACACCTGCAATGATTTACAACCTCGCAAATATCATATCATTGTATTATGCGCCCTTGACCTCCAGTACCTTAGTTACTCAGTGGGTTGGTGCAGCTTAGTTGTTGGTACAATTTAAAATTACATTTTAATTAAATTATTATTATATCATGGATTTCATAATCATTTCATAATTTATTATTAAATTACAATTTAATATTGCACAGCATCGCAAATTTATATAACAATACTGACAGTATTAATTCCAGTGGCCTATGGAATTCTAGTTTAGTTAAGCAAGGTAAAAGCAGGAATGAAAATTTAGCAAAAGCTGAATTTAATGAAACATTAAAAGTCATGCTAGTAAATTCTGAGGAAAATTAATGTGTACCTTGAACTCCACTTGCTGCCACCACCAAGGCTCCATCTAGATTGGCCTGTGAGTTGCTATCATTCTTTATAGACTCCGGGATCAGTTTACTTCCATGTTTCTTTACATGTGGAGCCAGGTGTTTTCCAACAGAACCAGCAACAGTACAGACTCCATCAACTAAAATGTTTTTAAACAAAAATGGATTTCTGAAGTTAATTGTGTTTCAAAAAAATGTAACAGCAGAGAACTTAATTCCTTGACAATTCACTTAAATACAAACTCAATCTAGTTCAATTTGAATAAACATAATTAAAAACCTCACGTCATGATTATAACTTCATTTGCAAACCTTCAAACATTATGTAGATCTCAAAATAATTCCAAAAAAGTATGCATTAAGTGCAATTTCAATATTTGAACATATGTAATAACCTGCCCAATACATTAAAAATAGCATTTACTGAATGTGATGAAGGGATTAATCAGGAGTATCACAGAAAAGAACTGAATGAGCTATAGTAAAGGTCCACTTATACTTTGGTCACACCATGGACCTGTAGTATATCAGAAATGCTGTACACTTCCAGCAATGGCTGACAGGCTTCCTGCAGATGTTTAGTGCACAGATGTCAGTGATGATCGAACATCCATGAAATGCTGATTGAAGGCCATTTTTATACTCCACTTCATTATGATGTGCTCTATTCAAACTTGGCTTCCTTTCATCGGATTATGAACGTTAGCAACATGCACTAAAACTTTAATCTGCTTCAATTGAAGGGGAATTATACCAATGGTGATAATTACCCTCCAAATGTAAATAAATTAGTTTATATAACATTTGTACATCAATTTTACAAAGGGAAAATCAATAGTTGAGAATAGGTTGTCATCTTACCTAAAAACTGGCTGGCTTTCACAGCGGTCCCTGTTGCTTGTCTTGCCACATTCAGCCCCTTGGCCATAGTTGGACTAACTGTTGAAGGCTTATCATCTGGTTGAATGTGTTCCCTCAGTTTAGAAGCTCCTTTGTGGATTGCTTTACCAGTGAATTCAGCTCCTTTAACCAGACCCCAGCTTAACCATGAAGCTCCTAAGAGAAAAAAGAACAATTGTTTTGAATTAACAACTTATTTTCTTCCTTCTAAAGAGAGACAGAAACACGAAGTACAGGTGCAACATATTCAAATAGAATATGTAGTACTTACATTTGATATAGCACCCTCTGCACTACTGGCTTCCCATCCCCCAGTGGACTGTATCCAGGATTCTAGTCTTCACTTTCAAATGCTTCCATGGCTTCATCCCACCTTACCTCTGCGACTTCCTGCATTCCTACTACTTGGCCTCACTCTTCACTCACACACTGGTTTGCTTTCTGTCCCTTAACAATCTGCCCCTGCTCTGGAATCCAACCTCGAATTCCACCACCTTCCCTCCTCCTGACTCCTTCAAAATCCTCCTTAAGACCCATTAATAATAATCTTGCATTTGATATAGTACCTCATCACGTAGTCGAGACATCTCAAAGTGCCTCACAGAAAGTGAATTGACTGTATATCTTGAGGGCAAATTCTCCGACATTGCTTTCAGCAACCTCCTCAACCCCCACCCCAGGTCTCCCCTTCTCTTCACGGCCCCAGTCAGCTGTGTGAAGCTCTTTGAGATTTCCTCCTAATGTGACAGGAGTTATATAAAATGCATCACAATTTTAGGAGAGATAATGCATTATGATACAGGTGATGACATGGTCCATTTTGAAGAAATCAGCATTCTTAGGTCTATTCAAATTCACATCATGTGGTCACGACTCTGACACAGGCTTATCAACCACTTACCTGAGAGAATTCCATTGGATACTTTTTCACTCCACTCCGGGACAGCTCTCTCTCTGTCACTGGGCTCTCCTTCAGAATCAACAGGCACGATTTGGCTCAAATTAATTACATCAGGTGAAGCTTCCGGATCCTAAGAGAGATGGAATCTAGTAATATAGTAGACTATACAAGGAAAATAATACCAGAAAATCATGAGCAACTTTTGTGCAATTCATTTGCTTTATCCCAAGAATACACCGCTCTGTGAATAAATCTCACCACGGTGTCTTAAACGCAGAGACAAAAGTTTTGAAATGAAAAATAATTCAACTGTAACATCACAATTCTTTGCGGAATTTTGACAACATTTCAACTATTCAGGACATTAGGAAAACTAGAGAGAACAAGAGCTAGGAGCTTGTCAGTTAAAACATGCTCAAAAGAAAGACCACACTGAATATACATTAATCTATAATTCTTCCTAATTTCTTTAGACTCCACATTTCAAAAGACGAGAATTTCTATGTGTAGGTGGGATGCATGGAACTGTTTGGTTGTGATACTCTTATGCACAGTGATGGGTCTTCACATGAATCAGACACCCAAATGAGCAAAAAGAAATTAAGAAAATCAGAAAACAATTTACTCATATTTTCTGATTCAATTACAACAGTTATCAGTACACCACTACATGTAGAACCACTAGAAAAAGCCTATCCTAGGGATGGATTAGTTAAAAACCTGTATAGCATTTGGTTTCGTACATAGTATTGAACTATTAATTTCTAGTGCATATTATGTGAAAAAGGTTAATCTGTAAAGCCATACCATTTTAACTGCCTACTAATAGTCTTTAATTGGCAGTTCTGAAAGTTTTTATTGTTCAGATAATTACCTAGAAAGTTAAGAAATACAATGACTCAGAAAATGAATCCTAAAAATACATCATTGCCCACAGGAATCTGAAAAAGGTATAGTTTATAGGCTTTACAGTACATGTTCATACCTTTTTAAGTACTCTTCTTAAATCTTCAAATTTGACTGAATTCTGCAAATAAATCATCATGAGTCTTGACTTTTTTTATACTTTAATGTCATTCAAAATCTGAAGTTGTATAAAACATTGTTTTTTTTTAAAAAAAGGAACTAAATTGCAGTCATTTTTTGGTTAAGTTGCTGAGCTCCTCTAAAACAAACATCAGGAACATTGAAAGTTTCTTGCTATAAAAAAAGAGAAACACAGCGAATCTTCCTCTCTTGCCGTGTACTGTATTCATCTACAAGCTCGTAAAGATGAGTCCGTCATTGAATAAAACTTTCTACCCATTTGCAAAGATGTGGTTACAAAAAATTCAGTGACAGACAACCAAATAACTCAATTTACACACATGTATTTTCTGTTGCATTCCCTACTTTGTACTTGTGTAATAATAAGTTCTTATAAAATTGCATGTTATCTGCAATGTTACTTTCCATCCAATGAGCATACCAAGCAAAATATGGTGCATCACTCAATACCTTCCCCCACTTCTCCATCCCATTCAATACAATATAGTTTCCTTTCTTCATAAGCTGGGCCAATAGAAAACTGCAGAAATATTTGCCAAAAATTTTAGTGCGTTTAACAAATGTGGAGAAATTTGATAAATTTTGTGGGAAATTGCAGAGGATTGATTGGTGCTATTGAGCTGTGCATTTTGTGAAACAATCCGGATTAAAACTACAGTCATGGATTTCCTGATCACGTAGTTATGATTAAAATACTAAAAATGTTAATTTGAATAGTACACCACTTACCAAGAATTGGTCGCAGGAGCTGTTTAGACTGCGGGTGCTGGGCGCAGCCGATTTCCCGCTCGCACCACTTCCACGATCCCAACACCCAAAGTAGCAGCAATGAGCAAACAGTGCGCAGAGGCCCAGGGCCCAGCACACTATGTGTACAGGTATGTAGCGGAAGGGTGTCATTTGTTGCGGACGGGTGGCATTAGTGGTAAATTCTCGGAAAAAGTGGGGCTGCACTTTTTTGTATTGGCCAAGCTCATAAGTCATGTTCACATATAGCGCTCCTTTCAAATGTTTAATTTTAAAAAAAAATCTGTTACATCTATCAATCTACTGTTGATAGATGTAACAGATTTTAGTAAAAAACCTTAACCAGCCATGACATAGATTGAATGTTATACTCCTTTACTCATTGGTCTTTGATTTCATGATCAAAATAATTAATTAATCACAGAACATCCATTATTAGCTGGCTGATTCACAATGCATTCATTGGTACAACACTTAATTTTATTAACAGAATCATAAGAACCTACCTGGACTTTTAAAACTGCCATTTGTCTAAGCAGGACTTCAAAGAGTTCTCGATCTGCTGCTGGCAGTTCAGACGATAGTACAACACCAACATAGGACCCTGGAACTTGCGACATTACATCAGGAAACATGTAGACTCCACTATTACATTTCAGGACAATGGACTGACTGGACATGAGTGGGAACTGCCAGTCACATACCTATAAAATACACAGAAGAAATTACAATCTTGTAAGTGGAATAAAAATGGTACCGATTCATTGCTAACTCAAAATCATAATGCAAGCCAATTATTTGCCCGGAAACCATAATCTATACATAAAAACATTCTTCTAATTAAAAACCATTCAAGTCAAGTGGATCATATTTTAGTATTTTTTTTAAAATAATTGCTTTCAGATAACTCTAACCAACAATTTTGGAACAGGATAAACTTAGGAATCATATTTTTGCATAAATTTTAAAATAGTGACCAACATTCAACAGTCTGTGAAAAGTGAAAGTGTTTTTTTCACCAGACATTTTGTTATTCTCAGCTGTATAAACAAAATGATCAATCTCACTATTCCATCCTAATTTTTAACATGAAAAGCTCTCTAAATAAGTGTTCTTTAAACTATTTCATAAGTTATTTCCAACTAGATTTATGCATCCTTAGCAATTGGATCCTTTCATTCCTTTGTTTATTACAATAATACATAAGTGTTTCTCGATTTTAAAATCCTTTGTACATTATACAATTTACATCTAATATAATGCCATTCATATTGGGAGGATGTCTCAAATTATGCAAGACTGCTGGATGGGCACCCGAGATGGTGGTGGGAGCCGAGGGAAATGGGGAGTGGAAAGATGATCAAAAATGTGGTCAGAGCGGGTACACTTTGAGACATGCCGTGGAGTCCTGTAGCTCAGTGGTTCTCACTTTGCAAGCGAGAAACCTGGGTTCAATTCCAGGCAGAGGGCGAAACCTTGGGCAAGTTTCCTTACTCCACACAGAGCCTAATAATAATCCCTCCAAAACAAAAACAATAAAAAATTGGTCATTTTCAGTCCACGACTGTTTGAGGGACACTGCTGTGCGCAATTGGCTGCCCCTGTTTTTGCCCACAAATATACGGTCAATTCACTTTAGAGCATATTCTGTGAAGCGCTTTGAGCCGTTTAGAAGACGTGAAAAGCGCTGTATCAAAATGCAAGGATTATTATTATTAAACGATTGAAGGAAAGTGAAAAGCAAAAAAATTACATAATGCCTTTCACATTGGCAGGACTTCTCAAAAAGTGCTTTACACAATTGACTGGGCAGCTCCACCCAAGCTGGGAAGTGGTGAGGGGAGGGAAGATGAGGTAAACAGACCCTTATACTTCCTATTCAATTTAAAACTACTTCCACTTCTGTTTCCTCATTTTCTCTCCGATTATCCACAGTTGACCACCTGAATGAGAGATGTCCATATTATGAGTTTCTGACATAATTCAAATTCTACTATATATCACAATCACTTAATTACTTGAAAATACTTGTAAGAACATAAAATCCCCAGCCTTTACAAACAGTTTGAAAATATTTTTAAAAATCAGTATTTTGTACAATTGGACAACGCAAAGAATTAAGAATTAAAGTGTTTCGTTTCAAGAACATATTAGATTTCCGCTAGAAAATAATATCTCAGGATATAGTATGTAGTTTGGGACACAACATGTCAAGCGACTGCCAGTATGGTGGAAGGCGAACTAGATGGACCTTGGTCTTCTTTCGCCTAGCAAATTCTTATGTTCTTAAGATGCAATTTTTTTTCTTCAATTACTTAAAATACCATATATATACATATTTGTGTGTTGTTGCCCAGTTTGTGAGGCAATATATTGATATACTTACTTTTAAATATATAAATTAGCAGCTATTAATTGTGACTGCATAGCATTCTAGTCCAGAAATGATCCTCTGAAGACTTTTATGTTAGTATCTTACAGCACAGAAGGATGCCATTTGGCTCATTGTGCCTGTGTCAGCTCTTTGGAAGAGCTTCCCAATCAGTGCCACTCCCTACTCTTTTCCCATATCATTGCAAATGTTTTACTTTTCAAGTACCCATCTATTTCCCTTTTCAAGTAGTTATTGAATCGGTTTCCATGACCCTTTCAGGCAGTGCATTCCAGACTGTAACAACTCTCCGTGTGTNAAAAAAATTCTCATCTCCCCTCTGGTTCTTTTGCCGATTATCATGAATCTATGTCCCCTGGTTACCAACTCACCTGCCAGTGGAAACAGTTTCTCCCCATCTATTCTATCAAAACCCCTCATAATTTTGAACACCTCTATTAAATCTCCCTTAACCTTCTCTGTTCTAAGGAAAACAATCCCAGCTTCTCTATTCTACTGGACAAATTAAACATGAACAGTTTAAAAGAAAATGTACCTGCAGAAAGGCACGTGGTTGATTTTGTGATCCACAATTGCTTGCATCAGAGAAATTGACAATCCGGAGGTATCCAGGATAGGAGGGAGCGCTCACATTTCCATCAGGTGTCACATAGAATATCTGCACACCCTGTTGAATTAGGAGCACTTCATTGGCATTTGTGCCAAGCGATTCCACTGGAGGAGGCTGGGTTCTTTGTGCAAACATTTCATCACCAACAACAACAAATTCACCAGACTCAGTCCCATAGGATATGGTCAAGTGCCCACCAACAGCCTGAGGTGTATACATCGGGGGTTGCTCATTAGATACAGATGGAGCTTCAGGTGACAACAGGTTAGTAGCAGCAGGAGTTGAAGAGTTTCCCGTTGTGGCCATGGTAGAAGACTTCTCTTTGGATGATACCGGTATAACTGGATAAAGCCTTTTTGGTTTTGCTGATGTATTATCAGATCGCGCAGTTTCAGAAAATGAGCCTTGCTGATGAGATGCAGCTGGTATTTCTCCACCCTCTAGAATAACCAATCTTGTTTGTATATTATTTAATGTTTCTCTCATTTTAGTTTGCATCTGACGAGCTTTGTCCCATTGGGGACCTGTGCATTCTGCACTATTTGATGGAATATGTACTCCTTTGACCAAATGCTTCTGTCCTTGTCTATAATACTGCTTTGCTGCTTGTTTCTGACCTGCTTCATCTGCACTGAGCCCTTTGTTAATGAAGATAAAAGCTTCTTTGTATTCATCCTTAATGCGACTAAGCCATTCAGCTGCATTTCCGGTAGTAGGGTTGTGCTGTTCCATACCTTAGGAAAAAGCATAGTAATGTAATTATACAGCACAAAACAGTTGCTTATTCAGTTTTAAAAAATTATGGTAAACAAAGTAATCTTCCATTAAGTGACTAAGCATGAGATTTTATCTCGTGGTTGGGAATTGTATGCATCATAGTAGAAATTTCTAAGGAACAACAACAACTTTCATTTATAGTGTGTTTTTTATATAATAAGAATCATCTCAGGAAATGTTATAGGCAAGATGATTAGTGATCAGTGGAAAATAATGAGTTACATTTAATATAAACACATGGCAAAAAGTCCACTGACACAAAACCAACCACCCATTCTAAATAAATTACATAGAATATACAGCACACAAACAGGCCATTCGGCCCAACCGGTCTATGCCAGCATTTATGCTCCACATGAGTCTCCTCCTGCCCTTCCTCAACTAAGACTTATCAGATTAACCTTTTAAGGTATAATAAAGACCTTATTTAAAGATTAGATTATTGGTATGTGATCCCTCATCATATGTACCAGTTCTGTAATGATGCCCAGTTTTATTTTCCTCCTTTATTTTCCTCCTAATTAGCAAGTTATTTCATAACTGTTTTGCATGACTTCAAAGCACTCTCACTTAAAATTAGGAACACATCTCCAACATGAAACCATTGGCACGATCATGATTTGAAATAGTAAGATGTCCTGTCTGATCTAATTGTCCTGACAACATAATGCTTAGTGTCAAACATTGACAACTGTGTTCAACATTACTACAGTTTACCCAGAACACCAATCCCACCTGACTTGCATTTTTACGAAAGGCGAAGGAGGAGGATAAGATAGGTTATAGGAATCATGAGATCCTTTAAGTTTCAATATATACAACTATGTATTGAAGTGTCACTTGTGTATCAGCCTGGCTCAGTGGCAGCAGTGTGGCCTCTGAGTGGCAAGGTTGTGGATTCAAGGGGAATGGGATTTTGCATTGTCGAAAGTGGCATTCTTCGGATGAGACGTTAAACTGAGGTCTCGTCTGCCTGTTCAGGTGGACGTTAAAGATCCCATGGCACCAAGAAGAGAAGGAAGTTTCTCCCAGTATCCAAGCCAACAATCCCCCAAATAAAAATTGTTTGCTCACTACATGGCTGATTATGGGATATTGCTGCATGCATACTGACTATTTTGCCCACAAAATACACAATCAAATCAATTTACAGTACATTCTGTGAAGTGCTTTGAGACTGCTCAATGACATGACTAGGTGTTATATCAAATTCAAGGATTATTATTATTAACTATGTATCACAAATTTTATTAGGAGTCAGCAGTTATACTACTATAATTAATGCATCGTAGTACACGAGCTGAAATCCAAAACCAGTCAACCATGAAGGCACATCTAGTGAGTTGTTACAATACAAAATTACATTTATTATTGCGCCTTTCAAATCAGGAAGACAACTCAATCATGGACCGTCGAGGGATTGCACCCGAGTTAAGTTAAACCACTACAATTCTGATTACTTTGGAAATATTTGTACATTAGTACAGCACGTTATTCATCAACACCACGTTGTTTGAAAACAATAGGATCACAAACTGTTAATTTTGCTGCAGAAATAATGTTGCAAAGAAAACATTGACCACCAGTATAATAGCTGATTGTGATGCCCACAAAACAAAAAATCACGTGATTTATAGGTCATTGTTTTTCCAGTGTTTTAGAGCAACTTTACATTTCTATTGTGCACAATAAATTCCCTATGGCATTACAGAACAAAACAGCTTAACTGGCTTGAAGTGTTTAACTTATTTAAAGAAATATACCAGGGTAAAGCCCCACAAAGACCTTAATAAGCTTTGGTATGCAATATACAATCCTGTATTGAAGTTTATTCAAAAACATTAACAAAAATTGTCTGGCCTGTCAACCTGGGCAGCCATCCTGAGGCACAAAGTATACAAACATTAGTTACCAGGAGTGCACAGTTGGTTGAATCGGAAAGAGAAAAGTAGGTCAATGTTTTAGGTCTGAGCTCTGATTAAAAGGTCACAGGTAAAACATTAACCTATACTTCCCTTTCAGTATTTATACATTTCAGTTGTCATCTGAACTCTTCCCCTCTGGGCCTCCCCCCCTGCACTGACCTATCCTCCTCGGTCACCCTTCTCCACAGCTCCCTCTCCTCCACTCGATTCCCTCGCTCCCCTCTCTTCCTAAACCGTCTCCTACTCACCCTGGTACACCAGCCACCTCCACTCCCTTAAAGCCCAGGTGCAATCCACTGAGCGCACCTGGCTTAAATTAAACCGAACTGTCCTCCGGCAGATTTGGTTGGGCCATGTCAAATCCTACCGCTCCGTCCTCGCTTCTGCTAAATTGTTGTTCTACTCCCAAGACAATCTTGGAGGCTAAGGACAACCCTAGGCTCCTCTTCTCTATCACAAACCGACTCCTCCGCCCACCCTCTCACGCCTCACCCATCCTCACCTCAAATGCCAACTGCGAGGCAATGTTGAACTTCCTCAAATCCAAAATCGAGGGAATCCGCTCAGCTGCCTCTGCCACTGCTACCCCCTCCTCATCTCCTCCTCCCACCCCAGCCCCTGCCCACCCCTCCCTCTACACCTTTGAACCCATCTCGCCCTCCTCTCTCACCACCACCATAACCCATATGAAACACACCACCTGCTCTCTGGATCCCATTCCTACCCCCTTCCTTACCTCCCAGCTCCATCTACTTGCCCTCGTCTCACTGACATCGTTAACCTCTCCTCTGGTACTGTTCCCACCCCTTTAAAAACCACTATCATCATTCCTTTTCTTAAAAAAAACCCTCCCTGGATCCTTCTCTACTCTCTAACTACCGCCCCATCTCCAAACTCCCCTTCCTCTCCAAGGTCCTGGAATGAGTTGTTGCTTCTCAGCTTCACTAACTCCACTAGCTTCCCATCACATAGAGGATACAGTTCAAGATCCTGGTCCTCACCTCCATGGTCTTTCTGAACACATTTTTGTTGCCTAACTTCACCTCCCCACTACACAGTGCTGCTCATTATTACCTAGTCATGCCTATTCTCTGAAGCACCGTGAAGGTGAAGCTACTTCCTCAAAATCCATAATTTTACTTTCACGAAGCCCCAAAAGTATCTGACTGGTATCCGAAAACACCCTACAATGCAGTTACTCCCAGGTTTGAGGGAAGCCAAAAATAAATCTGCTTTATCTTGCACGACACAATAAACAAATTCCCAGGAGACATAGCCTCAAACGTTTCAAACACTGGACTGGGGGTGAGAAAAACAAGGAGAAAAAGAAGAGAATTGACACCAACCCTAAACCCCCCCCACCCCCCCCATTGAAACAATTGTAGCACTTATCAATTAAACCTGCAAGCCAAAGCCCTAACGCAGAGGGTGGTCCTAGCTGGACAAGCAGTGGGACATTTGCCAAGCAGTGCACCCAATGGCACGCTATGCAGTTGTAGCTGGTGAGTCTCACGCTGTACCCCAATGCACACTCTGGGGTCCCCAAATTTTAGCTCTTGTCCGGCTGCACCTAATACTCTCCGGAATTAGGTTAGGAGGATGCATCCCTCCGGGGAGAGAGCGCATATTCCATTCCAACAATCTATCTCTGGGATTTCCACGTGAGACTCAGGTTGGTTGGATACTCTTAAGCACGGTGATGGGTTTCCTCACGCGACAGACACGTACGTGGCTGACCAAACAATCTCATCACTTCTCCAGCGTCTCACAAGCCGTGATTTTAAATCTCAGTTTTATTTTATCCATTCCTTCTCCACACCACAGCAGCCACTCACTCATACACACACACACACACACACACACACTCAGACCCACTCTCTCTCTCACTCACTCACACACACTCTCTCACACACACACTCTCTCACACACTCACTCTCTCACACACTCACACTCTCTCACACTCACACTCTCTCACACTCTCTCACACTCTCACACTCTCTCACACTCTCACACACACTCTCTCACACACACACACTCTCTCTCTCCTGTCTGACCCGGCAATGCCCTCCGCGGTCACGCCTACGGACAGAGAGAAGGCGAGTGTAGAAGCGTTGCTCAGGAACTCACCCGCCGGAGCCGCCAAAACTTTCGCTGAACTTGTTGACGTTTTCTCGCGGTTTGGTTTTCTGGACGATGTCGGGGCGGCCTCCGCGCGCACGTCAGCGACCCCCCTGCTGCGCCTGCGCACTTCGTCAGGCGAGGGGCTCGCGGCGGGATCGGGCGAACATCCGGGCCTCGCTGACCCGGTCCCGCGTCACGTGGTTCCGCTTCCTCCAATCGCGTGCCGACACGTACCTCAAGAGTCACGCGACGACGGACAACCGCCACCGCTTCTCGAACTTTCTACCGGCGTCTGCCCCGAGCGGGGAACAGGGACAGGAGCGACCAGGGCAGCGAGTGGCACCTACAGGGGAGGGAGTGGTGGGTTTTGGGGGGAAAAAGTAGTTAGGAGTGATCAAAAAAAAAAGATGCTGGTAAGCGGATAGTTTCCCCAGAGCTCCACACTGCCCCACCCGCCCACCCTCCTCCGACCGTCCCTGACTTACTTACCTCCCTGTCTCTCCAACCTGCGTACCGCCCCCGTTGTTTTATGAATATAATAATAATAATCCTTGCGCTTGACATAGGGCCTTATTACATCTTCTAGACGTCTCCCAAGTGCTTCACGGAATAATAATAATAATAATAATCCTTGCATTTGATATGGCGCTTTTCACGTCAGGAGGACGTCCCAAAGCGCTTCACAGAACACACTGAAAAGTGAATTGGTTGTATATTTCGGGGGCAAAACGCGGCAGCCAATTGCACACAGCGGTGTCAGCTCATTGTAAAAAAGAGAGAATTTAGGAGGAACTACTTCACACACAGGGCAGTGAGATTGTGGCTGCCTGAAGCGGTGGTTGGATCAGATAGTATAGATACATTCAAGAATAACCGGACCTTCACATGAGGGAAAGGGGAATAGAGGATATGAGAAGCAGTAAAGCAGATTTTTCAACATTAAGCCATAGTGGCTCTCAAAACGAGCCATTCCTTAAACAACCAACGTAATACGAATCCTTCAGATATCTTGTACCGACAGCTTTCTGACTCGGGTGAGAATGCTACCACGGAGCCAGGCTGATACACGCTTTGTGCACTGCGGTTCTGTTTAAATGCTACAACAAAGTTCTCCACACACACAAAAAATCGATTTGGGTATAATTTACGGGCCCCAGTTGCCCTCTTGTTCCTCACTTGAGTCCAATAAACAATGCAGCAATTCACATTTATATAGTGCCTTGTATGGCTCTCAAGAGCATAATAAAGCCGAATGGGCAGCTGACTGGGGGGGTGGGGGGAATCAAAATTTTGGTTGCACCGATAAATAAGTCTTGGGTGCCCTTTAAAAGTGAAGAGGGGATGAGGCTATGGAGGAATTTGAAAGTGAGGATGAGGATCTTGAAATTGTTCTGCTGGGAAATAAGAACGTAATGAAGCCGGGCAAGGAGGGGGGTGATAGGCTCACGTAGCCTGTGTCAGAGAGTACCCACACTGGAGTTTTGGGTATTCTGCATCTTATATAGGGAGGAGCTGGAGAGTCCATGGGAGTCAAAGGAAAGAGAAAGTCATGACTACAAACTACTTTAATGATACAATTGTTTTGTTTTTGAATTATGTTCCCCACCAGAGGGCAGTCTTGACATGCAAAGCACACAAAGTAAAGGTAGCAATTTATGCACATCTTGCACTCTACAGGGAATATCTTTAATGGAAACATTTGGCACCTCATGTGGTAATCTGATCAAATTTATATTTAATAAACTAAGAAAAAGGTGGAAGCATAATAGAGCACCATCCTGTCATGGAATTCTCAAATTCAAATATGGAAACAGGCAAATCTATTCATCAAAATTATGCTGGTATTTTATTTCACATTGTCACAGTATCTTATATCTTCTCTGATCCTTCTCTTCTAGAATTACTATTTGGGTACATGCCCGGTCAGAGCAGTCTCACAAAATACATCCAACACTTGGCTTTTAATAAAATATTTCTTATTTATTCAAACCCATATAATTCAATATATATATTCCCGCATTCAGAGCAATCCGTGCAAAAATAACAAACACAATTCTTATATAATACTTCGATAATACTATATTGATATAGATTATTACATAACTTTAATAAGGCATAATATCTCATACTTATAAAATATCTAAACCACTGAGTCTCAACACCTGGTCCACCAAATAGAATAAACTTACCTGAAATTCAAATCTCTCATAAGTTTCTGACAATACTTTGAGAAACTCAACTCCAAATTGACTAAGAATTACATCCTTCAATAAATCCTTCTACTTTGACAGTTCGAAAACATAAACTGGTTAACTCAACTATCGTTCAGACTAAAAGACTCAGACAGACCATAAAACCCATTAACTCACAAAAACTAACAAAAAAACATAAACCAAATGCACTTAACCAACATTTGTTTCATCTTAAGTGAGATAAACAGATTGATATCTCAATCTAACAAATTCAACAGACTATCTGGCTCTGAGCCCTGTGACACCTCCATGAACCCAAATATTCACCCTATTTCTATTAACTCTTAACTACCTCACAACATGAATTACTATTCTACCCCCACTCTTGAGTACTCCAACCTCCCCCATATACTTTAATACTCTCTGTCAAAACATTTTTCTAATTGATTTTAAAATGATTTATAGATTGCTTTGTGATTAAGAAGCTGTTATTCAGTAGATACATTATCCATTGTGGCGTATATCCCCACCCCCATCGGCTCCCACCCCAAGCTCAGTATTGTTAAGCACCTTGGCTCATCCACCCAACATGACTCGCACTACATAAATGTAAATTTGTGTTGTAATTTATATTGTACATCTAATTCACTGAAATCCTGTAATGTCTGATAGAGTAGCCATCTTCAACATATAATCAACAACAACAACTTGGATTTATATAGCGCCCTCCACGCCAGACGACGTCTCTTGATATAGAGATGTATGAAGCAGGAAAAACTAGTTCAGAAGGTTACATTTATCATTGGCACAATTTTAAAAAAAAGGATTAAGAATTATCTTTAGGGTAAATAGCCTTGTGTTTATTTTTGCATTTCTCTTGAGTTTTTGAATATCTTTTGTTTGAATGTATCAAATTTACCATCGCACACCAGGGGCGGATCTAGAGTTTCATCACAGGGATTGGTGGGAGGGGGGCCTGCACTGTTTATTACAAAAGCAAAATGTTAAAAAAAAAGCATTTTCTGGAAACCCGTTTGGGCGAAAAATAAGAAACTTGATTTATCACAGTGATTGCTTGCTGGTACGTGAATTGTCAGTGTATTTGGACACCAAGATAATCAAGCTCATCTTTATCAATTAAGATATGTGTGAATTGCAAAGGTTTTATGGCAGTATTAAATTAAATGGTACAGAAAGGCACTGATGCGGAGAACAGAATTAATAGTAACAGGAGCTTCTTCGTTAAGAAGTACCTTCTAATCTTCTTTCTTCCCGGGTCTGTTCTGACTTCAGGCTAGTTAATGTCCAATATTTATACACATGAACAAACAGGTTTCCGCGACCTTGTGCTCAACCATCCTTCTTCAATCTGTCGCCACCATCCAATCACATTAAAATTTGGATCGCCCCTGCACACGTTTGGTCTCGGAATTATCCAAGATTTCCAAAATATCTGACATTGTTTAATTTCTCCAAAGCAATCTATTATAATGTTCATTGCTTTTGTGATTGCCATAGATAAAAGTAGAATGATCTGCATCATGATCATACTCAACACAACCCAATATAGTTTTATATTTAAACTCCCAGTATATGCTGAGACTTTTGTTTGCCTTTTATGTCTCCTGTCACCTCCCTTTTCTCCCAGCTTGACATCAAACAATGAGCACTCCAAGACGCTACCCTGCGGGAAGGGCACTATATAAATGCAAGTTTTTATTGTTGTTGTAGTTACCACAGCTTTTGTGTAATACCTCCCGACCTCAGCCAAAATGTACAGCTTAGCAGGAACAGTTGATATGACTCATACATTTTTCAAATGCATCCAGCAATTTGAGAAAGCTTAGAATAGAGAGTGAAAACCTGTTCTGTGCATTCAGGTGGGATAGACAATGTGATAACAATTGTTTTACTTAATGTGTTTTACCACTATGGGGGGGGAGTAACAGTACAATAGCTTGTTTGTAAATATAGCTGTTGTTGCCAAGAAACAAGGAGTTCTCCTTAACAGCAAATAATTCTGATTAGAACTGCATGTGCCAGTGACTATCATTTATTTTAAATATAGCAGCATTGTGATATGTATTAGCCAAACACATTCTATCTTTGAGTCAAATAACAACTGACAAATAACTGTAAATAAACACGTAGACACATAAGTAGTTGTTTGCTACCTGTTTGCTAGCCCTTCTGTTGTTAAGGAGATCTAGCTCTAATCTGCTGTGCACGGCAGGAAAAATGTTCTAAGATTAGCATAATAAAATTTGACGAACTACATTGTTTCTGAAGTATGGTGTGTGCTGTTATTGGTGCACCGAGACACTAACCTGCATGAAGGGCGCTATATAATTGCAAGTTTTTGTTGTTGTTATATACAGTAGTTCTTTACGTTGCGCTCTATCAAAATCAGCGTTTGAAACAGAAGCCCTCATATCTTTGTTTTGATCAGCCGCGTGTCTTGATACATGAAAAAACACATTACTATACTTAAAGAATATCCAAACCCGACTGAGAGTTCCATGTATGGTAACAACGCATGGAAA